ATACAAAAAAATTAATAGCTCGGCCAGTTTGATATTTTTCCATGAAATTGATCTTAAAATTCTCCGTAGCCGTGACTCTTACCCATCTTTCCTTTAATATCGTTGTTCTTCTCACATAACCGAGAAACTTAAACTGAACAATGATTGTCCCCTTACGGGTTGCAATGGTGAAGCCAACTTTTGGCGGGTGAGCCAAATTATTGCCGCGGGTCACGTAGTACCCGCGGGTCATAGGTTGCCGACCACTGGAGTAGACCAAGAGTTAGCAATGGGTGATGTTGACTAGTTGCCTTCCCTCTAGTTTATCACTGCTAAATTAGGGACGACTAGCGCAGATAACCCTCGAGTAACTTTGCACGAAATAGAAAACCAAATAAACCAGACTTTTATGTTTATACGAGTGCAAAAGTGAACGACATTTATAACATTACTTTAAATACAATTACTTCAATAACACAAACACACACACACACACATACAAGGAGACACATTAAGTTAACTCTTTACCTTTCCGTGACGTATAAGTAACGCAGTAGCATTACATCTCAATTCAAATTCCAACAGATGTATAAAAATCGACTATTAGGCCTAACGTTTAAATACGCTTATCTGCTATATAATCTACGGCAGTTAACTTTAATGGTTATTGCTACAACTTCGTTCATTTTCGATGCTCTACAGCTAACACATTGCGCGAGAGAAAATAATTACAGGTTTCAGATGATATACACACATATATGCACAAGAAATTAAAAAAAAAACAACAGATGACGACAGTTGATTTATGCACTTCTTGGTACCATTACTTTTTAAATTATTTTACTGTTTTATAACTATTATATGTTTCCAACTATTTCAATACAGGCGCCTGAAAATCGACAATTAGGCCTAACGTTTAAATACGCTTTGTGGGTCAAAAACTAGTTTTTCCACAATAAGAATGAAATATTAAACCGTTTGTGTTATTGGTGGTAGTTGACCCAACGATTTGTTAACATTTTAGGGGATAGTCAAAAAGAATTGATAGCTTTATGGAAAGAAAAATATGTGTGATAGCGACAAAAGAAGACTGTTGATTTTTACAATTCTTGATACCATAACCTTAAAAATTCACTATTTTATAACTTCGCTTGAAAAGTTCGATCAAGAAAAAATTTCAAGATCTTAGTCAAAAATGGCAATTATCCATAAAGATAAGGTGTTTATACAAAACGTTTTATGTATAGAGGTATATTTCATTTATATTCATCCCATGTTGTTACTCTTATTTACTTTCAATCTAAATACAACTTCATATTCTGCTTAGTAGGTTTTTGTTTCATTCATGTCTACGTAATACAACAACAGCATTATTTAAAGGATTATCTATTTAAAACATACATAGGAAAATTTAAATAGTTCTAAGTTACACTGATAGTATAATTCTTAATTTGTTATTAATATTTGCAAAGGAACATAAAGTCGGTGCCTTGTTTTGCACATGATTAGAATCACGTGAAAGATGTATCAAATTCAAAGATAAAGATGCAAACATTTTAGATTATAGATAAATTTAAATAATACTAAGTTACGACGATAACAAAATTCTTTAACTTTTTTTGTAGAATTTCGTGTAAAGTTACTCTGGTGTTATCTGCGCCAGCCGTTCCTATGTTAGAAGTTATAGACTAGAGGGAAATAAACTAATCACCACCACCCATTGCTAGTTAAAATTTTCGGAATTTGAGACTAAAGTAGACGTTCCAGATTTTCGAAGAGCTACAATGGGAACTTATTGACTGGAATTCACGGGGTTCTACACATGTGAAAACATCTTTGGGATTTGGCTCATATGGCACAGCACACACTTCGTATGTGGGGAGGTCGAGGATTCAATCCTGTCTATATCCATGTTTTTGCTAAACAGTGTTTCAGTAGTCAAATAATTTTAGTACATGTACGCGAAGCACGAGTTTATAGATTAAAAAAAATTACTTATGTACACTTTTAAACTTGTAAAATATAGTTATTATTTGCTTAACTAAAATATTCGGTTTTAGATATATAACCTTGAAATGTCTTAAATATTATAATTTCGTAGCTTTAAACTTAAAAGTTGTTACAAAATTCATACAAATTTTAGTTATGTTTAAAATAGTTTAGACTACGAGTCAATGAAGGTATCAGTCACAAACTATAAATGTCTTATTTTCAAACAAACATCGTTGCATTTTGTAACTGGTTTTTACTATTGTTTTATTACTTTTTCTTTTTTTTCTGTTCAAGTTTATTATAAGCTTTGCCGTGCTTGTTTTTAGGATTAGTCATTAAGCTTAAATTCTCTGCCGGTATGCCAGTTTGTCAAATGTGGTGCGGTTATTCACTGCCCTACATAATCCTCTTATATACATTTTGGGTTTATTGCTTTTGAAATTCGCTTCTCTGTCATCCATAAAGCTACAAAGAAGCCGCTCTTTACTTTTAGACAAAGGGTCGTTTACAGTATTAATCCGAAATGTCATTTATGCTGCTAATACTCATACTCGTGTCCCAGTGTGTAGGTTACCATGCTTCTCGTTCTTTTGAATAGCACAATCGGTTGTTGACCTCGAATGCCTTTTCACCGCATTAGTTTCATAAGCCAGGAAATCTTAAAGTATGTTTTTCATAGTCCAACTGATATATTTTAATAGTTTTAAATTATTTTTACACACAGTACTATCGGAATTCATAAATAATTACGTTTAGCTCCCTCTGTAGTAGTGTTTGTTATGAATCATATGATAATAAAATTATTAAGTTTTT